TAGAAACTAAGGCACTCTTCCTTCTCTCATTGGCGAGAAAAGTGGTTTCTTCATGGTGAGATGACTTTCTGGGACTCAGTTCTTTCCTTATTTCATGTGGAAACTGTGCAGATGGAATTGCCTCCGGTGGGTGGCAGAGGCCATGGAGTTGGGTGATACCGGGTCAGCCTCCCCAGCCCTGTCCCTTGGGAGCTCGGGGACTGGATGAGTCACTTACCCCCGGCTTCCCTTCCTTAATTGTAGAGCAGAGATGTCGACGTCTGCTACGTGAAGTTGTTAGGACTGAAGGCGGTCATGCTTGTGAAGTGTGTTAGTCCCGGCTGCCAGGAGGTGCAGAGCATAGGGATGGTTACGGTCACTTTGCTTGAGAAGTTGAGGGAGGTGATGGGCGCAGGACCTTGGGAGGACGTCACATCAACAGTCTGATTTGTGTTCGCTGGGAACCGGGGCCCGTCATGGGACCCACGAGCCCAAACATCTAGCCTGGTCCCACGGCGCTGGGATCACGAGGGGGACTGGGTTCTTGATCCCCCTGGGCTGACAGTCAGCCCCAGGGTCCTTCTCGTAGCTTGGAAGATGCCAAGGCGCTCTGCGGTCAGGTGCTGGTGTGGAGCCGGGGGAGGCCCGTGGGGACACCAGGAAGAGCCGCAGCACCAGCCTCCGGCACGTGGTGGGAGCAGCTCTGCCCCGCGCGTGCTCGGTGTTGCGGGGCGCACAGGGCCGTCTGAACGCCTCGTCCTGGCTGCCAGCCTGGCATCTTACTCCCCGGGGACATGCAGTCGACATGCCGCCAGACTGCTGAGGGATCCTAAAACTTTAAAGCTTGGAACAAACACACATAAAAGTCTAGCTGGAGCCCTGCCTTACAGCTAATGACTTAAGAGGGTCGAGGAACTTGCTCGGCCTTGGCTGCTGTTGGCACCATTTGCCTTTCCAGCTTCCCCAGAACTTGTGGCTATTCAGGGGGCAGGGCTCCAGTGCTGTTGCCTACCTTCTGGCCGACGGCCGCCTGGTTCCCTCCCGTCACTTCTGAGACTTGCTGTCCCAGACAGGCGAGCTCAGAAGCCAGTCTGTGTCTGATGTTTAAAAAAAAAACAAATGGCAACCTTAATACCACTGGAAATATGTATTATTTAAATAATTCAGAATAAGGCAAAGGCAACTTTAATTAGCTTTTTCTTCGTTCAGTATTTTGGTTGAAGGAAATTGCTTATTTTATGTTTACATTTTCTTTGTATCCTTAAAAGTGCACATAAGGATTAAACAAAGGACCAAAAGAATCACACTGTTTTTCAGCTCTCCAGCAAAGCTGATACAGAGGTATTTCATTGTCGCTCTAAATTGATTTGCTCTTTCTGGAAAGCAAGCTAGCTGGGTGTAACCAAAGCTATAACATTATTCATAACTTCTCTCACTCCTGGCTGATCAACGTTAGGACTCTATCCCAAGAAAATATCTTCTCTCTCAGAACCAACATAGGGACTGAAATATGCTTTGCACAGAGAAGGTTTTCCCACTCTTTGTGACAGTGAAAATGTATAACGAGCTGAAATGCAAGCACAGGAGCAGAGCGTGGGGATTGGCACAGAGGACCGCAGTGATGCCGCCTGAGCTGTCTTCTGCGGGGAGGGGATGCCTGGAGAACGGCTGCTCCCATAGGGTGTGCTCGGTGCTTTTAACCACGTGGCCCAGAGCCACCCAGAGTCCTGCACGGGCTCCTTACTCCGTACCCACGGCTGGAACCCACGGCCGGAAACAGGGAAGCCGGAGCCAGGCTACTGATGGTTTTCAAACGTGGGCCCTAGTGCTGTACCCCTGTGTCTTCATCAACTCAGAAGAGCATTTAGGATAATGGAAAACAGGGTGAATGGTCACTGGGGTTTTTTTCTGTTTCCTTTTAAAATTGAAACAATTTCTTTCCATGTAGAAAGGAAACAATTCTGAACATAACTGTAGTTCTTTTATTAAGCTCATTCATATATGTTCATGTGTTATTCAGAAAAACAGACTGACTGTTTACAGGTGTCTGAGTGGCTTAGCCTCTGATATCTGTCTCAACTGAGTGTGAATAACTCAATTTTTCATTCAAAATCCCAGCCTTTTTGAGATTCCTATAGTTTCTGGATAAAGAAAGTCCCTAATTCTGGACAGAATGGGGATTTTATATAAGCTAAGGTTTTAAAATGAGCATTTCCAGTTGGTAGAAAATAATGTCTACGTGTGTGTCCGGAAGTTTAAATGATGTAGGTGAGCTCTCATTGGTGCACGTCGCAGAGAAAGGCAGGCAGGGTGGCTGTGGAGCCGTGTGCTTTATCGTGGACCTGCTCACGTGTATCTGACCGCCCGCGTACGTGCACCCACTAAACACAGAGCCATGGGTGCTCATGCATGCTTTGATGTTGTTTCTCTCGGAACTAACCGCTTTCAAAACTGTCGTTCTGATGTGCTGGAGTGGAGTTCTGTTTGCTGTTTAGATTGTAGCCTCCGGAAAGACAGCGTCCACAGGTATTCATAGTCTCTGGGGGCAGCAAAATGCCCCAGACACTCCTCACTCAGAGGCAGGTCAGTTGGGATGGCTCGCTGTTGTGGGAGTGTCTGTTTTTATGCTGACACACGGGTGGCTGATAGCTGTTTTCTTTCTCCCCAGTTTGACTGCGTTGGGTCTTCGTTGCTGCGCGCGGGCTTTCTCTAGTTGAAGCGAGCGGGGGCTGCTCTTCGTCGCGGTGCACGGGCTTCTCATCGCAGTGGCTTCTCTTGTTGCGGAGCACGGGCTCTAGGCGAGCAGGCTCAGTAGTTGTGGCGCACGGTCTCCGTAGTGGTGGCTCGCGGGCTCTACAGCGCAGGCTCGGTAGTTGTGGTGCACGGGCTTAGTTGCTCCGCGGCATGTGGGATCTTCCCGGACCAGGGATCAAACCCGTGTCCCCTGCAGTGGCAGGCGGATTCTTAACCACTGCACCACCAGGGAAGCCCTGGCATTCATTTTTTGAAGAAAATGTTGAAATAGCAACTGACCCCTCACTCTCCCTCGCTTAGCTGCCCTGCCAGTGCAGGGCCACATCAGCTGCCTCAGCCCAGCTTTGCGCTGTTCAACTCCATGGGAAGGAAAAAGATGAATACAGCGTCATCTCTGCTTCTAGCGGGGAGACGGGGTAGCTATGTGTATACAAACGCACGCAGGTCCACTCAGAGGTGAACGGGAAGTGACGAGCAACACAGAAGCCTGGGTGCTTGTTTAGACCTCTCTCGCACGACGACAGTGGGCCCTTCCTGGTCTTTCTGCCAATAAAAGGAGTGGAAAAATATGTTATATGTATTTGATAGTAAGCAGGAGGATTAAAAGAGTACCACTTACAGAAAAGTTTGAAAACCACTGCTCTAAGGCTTCCCTCCAATCCCATGCTGTCTGTTCCAAAAGAAGTCGCCCCTGTCTTCCTGAATCCACACGGTGAGCAGCCTTTCAAGCACAATGTGTGATCCTGACTTTGAGTCTCAGCCTTTGGACAGCATCCCACCCCTCTGTGCACCATACGAGACTCCAGGATCTGCCCTCAGCCCCATCTGTCACTGGTCACCATATGCACGCCACCCATGGCCACACGTGTAAGAGCTTTGGTATTTAGAACTGGAGCAAAATCTAGCTTAACTTAGCCATTCATTCTGAGAATGTATTGATGTTAGTATTTAAGGAATCTGAGAACTTACAGTGAAAAGTACTTTGTAAATCAGCTTTACATACCGTTTTCAAAATAATCATTTATATAAAGATACAGAAATGTATTTGTCACTCAGCATTCACTGAAGTGCTTATTGTATGTTCTATTGTGTCCCTGCTGTGGAAAAACTACTTAAAGTCCTATCAGCTTTCTCTGGGAAGGCTTTCTAGAGAGGACATGTGTATTAGTTCCCTGTTGCTGTGTAACAAATTACCCCAAGATCTAGCAGTTTAAAACAACGAACACTTATAATCTCACAGTTTCCCTGGATCAGGAATCCAGGAACGGCTTTGCTGAATGGTTCAGGCTCAGGGTCTCTCATGAGGCTGCAGTGCCCTGAGGCTTCCAAGTTCACGGTCATGGTTGCTGGGAGGCCTGAGATCCTCCCTGGCTGTTGACATGAGGCCTCAGTTCCTTATCACTTGGACCTCACTGTCAGCTGCCTGCGTGTCCTCGCAACATGGCAGGCATCTTCCCTGTGAGCACGTGATCCAGGATAGGTGGATGGATGGATGGATGAATGGATAGAGATTGAGACCAAGACAGAAACAGCAGTCTTTTTTGCGTGCTGTCAGTCTCTGGTGATCACACAGACCCACCTTGGTACTGTGGGGAGGGGTCTGCACAGGGTGCACATCCCAGGAGCTGGGAATAATGAGGACTCTTGGAGGCTGGCTGCCCCACCTCTTCCTAGAGGGGTCTTCAAGGACATAGTGGAAGTGCATTGGTATAAAGATACTAGCAGGGGAAGCTGAGATTAAAGGGCACAACGTGCTCACTTTTTTTTTTTTTTTAACCAGGACTCCTTCTCTTCATTTTCATTCCTTTCCACCGACCCTCGTAGCGCAGATTGGGAAATACACAGGCATCTGGCCGCAGCGGTCACCTCCTCCCAGCAGACAGGCCATCATACAACTCAAAATCGAAACAACTGACAAGGGCTCCCAGGCCTGCTGCCTCAGTTCTTCTAAGCCTGCTTATTGCCTGGGTGTCTATAAATATAAAGCTTGGTCGTTATCAGGACCATTCCAGAAGAGCAGAAATTGCCAGGGAAACTGGGTGCTCAGGGAACTGAGTTTTCTGGGTGCTGTGGTCTCCAGGGGAGCTCCCCTGGATTCTCCCGCCAGTTGATTGCTCTGGGTGGACGGAGAGACGGCCTCCTGCTTCCCGAAGTGGGGCTGCCTTCCCTGCTCTGACGGTCAGTTGGTGAGTGGCAGGGGAGGGGGACCCCTGGGCCCGTTGCCTCATGTGACCTGGTGTCCCAGTTAGTGTCTCTGTCATCCTCAGGCAGGTCCCAGAGGTGGCCCGGGGCAGAGCGTGTGTGTCATCGACGAGGTGGGGAAGATGGAGCTCTTCAGTCAGCCGTTCATCCAGGCCGTTCGCCAGGTGCTGTCCACCCTGGGGACTGTCGTCCTTGGCACCATCCCAGTACCCAAAGGAAAACCGCTGGCCCTCGTGGAAGAGATAAGAACCCGAAACGACATTAAGGTGTTCAGTGTGAGTACCCCCGGGCCCCTCTACCCGCAGGCGTGGAGCGGGTGCCCTGAAACAGCACATGGCTCTAGATACACCTTTGGCTTTGAGTTAGTGGTATTTTTTTCCTCTCGCGGCAGAATATAGGTGAGTTATAGAAGCGAAGTTACACCTCTGCTGGATGCCAAAGCAGACGTGCCTGCGGGGAGCCGCCCGAGGCGTCCGCCCCTCCTGCGGTGCCCTCCTCACCAGGCGCCAGGGTCTTGCCAGCATCAGCGCCCGGGCAGCAGTGCTCTGGGTCTGAGCGCATCTCCCCCAGGGCGATGAGGGTGCAGAGGCAAGTGAGTGCCGTCTCCTTTTAAAGGTCTCCCTCTGAAACTGGCTGCCTCCTGCTGTGGGGAGAAGCTGCGGCTGCAGTTTGAAGCACAGTCTCCGATGCTGTAGAGTGGCACCGTCCAGAGAAGTGTCCATGAGGGTGGAAGTGTGCTGTCTGCAGCGTGCAGTGCCGTGGCCATTAGCCACACGGGACTATTTACATTTAAACTAAACGGAATTAAATTAGAGAAATCTTTTCCTCAGTCACGCTGGCCACGTGTCAGGTACCCAGCTGGTAAGACACCCTGCCCAGAACAGGTGAATCAGGCTCTGGGCGCGGCCCAGGAACTTGTCTTCGCCAGCCCTCGGGGGCTCTGGGGCCCCTGCAGTGGGAGAAGCCCTGGGGTGGAGCATGTGTGGAGGACGCGTACGTCAGGGGCAGCGTCTGGGCCGGTTGTCAGGGGCTCTGGTGGCACTGCCGGCGCTTTGCCCGCAGACTTGCCCGTCTCTCCCGCCGTCTCTCTGTGCCCCTCTTTGTCAGGCACTGTCCTCCCTGTGCCGCCTCGGTTGGTTTGCATCAGTGCGGCCACGTCGCTCTGCTGTCCCTCTCCGCCAGCCCTCTGCCGGCGCCAGGTGAAACAGTGGGGCTGGCAGGGCCACTTCTGTGGGAGGGCCGGGCATGTGCTCTAGCTGCAGAGAGCCAGTGAGTGCCTCACACCGCTGGTTACTTGTCCCCAGGGCCGGCTGGCCCCAGGGGGACATCCCCACGTTGTCACCCAGGTGTCCAGGGTACCTTTGGGCAGCAGACAGCCGCCAGGATGATTAGCCCAGCCAGACTTGGAGGAATCTGTTTGCGCTGCTGCGTTCGTTTATCCTCTCACTTGGTAGATACGGATTGAGCATCTCCTGTGCGCTGGGCCTCATGCTACGTCTTGGTGGTGAACCAGACAGACCGCGTCTTTGTCCTCATGGAGCCGACATCCTCATGGAGGGGCTCGATGAGAGAAACGCAAGCAAGCATGTAGGCAATGGCAGATGTGGATAAATGCAACACCAGGGCACGGTGGTCCCTGGGGACCGGCGGTGGGGGAGGAGGTGGCGAACCGGGGAGGCCTGAGAGCCAGGCAGGGTCACTTCCTCGGTGGACATGGGCCTTGTCTGCGGAGTTGTATGTCACCTCCTCTATCCGTTATTTCACGTGGCTTCCGTATTAGAGTCTTTGGTTGTGATTGTCGAGTTTCTGTGGAAATAGAGACAATGGATAATGAGAGATCATGAAAGACAATTAGTCTTCAGGTCAGACAGCTTCCAGGCTGGAGGGCTGGGGAAGCGCTGATGCTAACGTCCAAGGCCTGGCTGTCTCTGCAGACTAATAACCCAGCAGTGGGACTGCGGTTGACTCTCACGTCCAGAAACCAGTGCTGTATATTAAGACAACACCACGTTTTCTCCTCTCTAAGCTAGGAGGTTATTCTCTAGGCAAGGTAATCCTGGCTCCTAATGATGTAAAGTGATTAGCTTCTGGTTAATTCTGTAAGCGACCCCGTTATTCTTGTCTTTCTTGTGTTCCTCTGGGGCTCGTGTGATCTTTTGGTGTGTATTTTATAAATGAAGAATCTTATTTTCCTTATCTGCAAATTTAGGGGCTGGATTAGATACTTCTTTGGTCCTTTCCCTTTCTAATATGCAGCAAAGTCACCTGAATTCATTTTTGAGAGCATCCTTTGCATCCGACGCTTAGTCTATGGTACAAGCACATGTGAGGTGTATTCCCTTCCCTCAAGAAAAACAGACCAAGGGACAGTCCAAATCTGGAGGTGGGAAGAGAGATTTGTGTGAACAGGAGTAGGGAGAGTTGTCCGGAAGGAAGTGGTTCTTGGCTGGGTTTTTGAAGGGGGAAGTGGGGAAACGAAAGAACATTCCAGATCAGGATTATGTTATGTAAAATGCGGAGAGCAGCTTCCCTGTGCTGACAGATGATGTGGAGATGGGACTGAGGTCATGATATTGGGAAAGTATTCACAATAACTCAGAAGTTATTCACATTATCTAGACTGTTCTTCTTAACAGGGTCAGGTGAACAGAGCCTTACTTTTCAGAAAAACCCCTGAGGACACTTCCAGTCCTAGACAAAGTGGGATAGACACACTGCTCCCTGTCGCTCCTCCTAAGTCAGATAAAAACCTTGGACGTTGTACATAAAACAGACATAAGAAGACCTGAATGGTAGAGGGAAGAAGGCGCACTGGCCAGGGACCCCAGGGAGAGCACGAGAGACACGATTGGAAATCACTTGTCATTCCAAGAACCAGGAAAATCAGCCAGAGTGAGAGAAACAGCCGACATGCCAACAGCAAGACGTCATAGATGTTGGAATTATAGGGCAGAGATTTTCAAACAGCCATCATAAAAATGCCTCAGTGAGCAATTACAAACCCACTGGAAACAAATGAAAAATAGAAATTCTCAGCCAAGAAATTGAAAGCTTCAGCAAAGATACAGAAGCTGTAAGGAAGAATGAAGTGAGCATTTTAGAATGTAAAATAGCGTAACTGATGCCAGAGTCCGTGGGTAGACCCGCCAGCAGAATGGAGATGACAGAGGATGGAGTCAGTGAACCTGAGGGTGAAACGGTAGAAACTGCCCAGGAAAGAACAGACTGAAAAAATAAAATCCAGGGCCACAGGGACCTCTGGAATTCAGTAATATAGAAACTTCTATCCTGGTGCAGGTTCAGGCGTCGAAGCTTCTCTTCCCGAAAATTATGTTTCCCTCTCAGAAGTTTGGTTAAATGTTTTCCTAATTTCTTCTGTAGTTTAATGCCAAGTGTAGCCACTGAAAACTGTTATAAATTTATTTCAATATTAGGTTATGGGAGACCACATGTCAGAAAACATTTAATGGTAATGTCAGTGCTACAGAAACGAGAGGTGAAGACCTTCACGGGTCCAGATTCCAGCAGGAGCTCTCGTACTGCTTTCATCCTTCTCTGACTCACAACGTGAAAAAATATGTCTCTCCCTGCCTGTCACTTCTAACAAAAAAATGTGAGCTTGGTCATGCTGGTGGCATTTCCAAAGCATATTTCACTTGATTTCCTGTGAAATCTCTCCTTCATGAAGATGCTGGAGAATGTTGTCCCCTGAGGGGACAGGAGAGAGGAGAGACGCCCGGAGTCTCAGGAACGGGGATTGAGCTGCCAGGGTGGCCGCCAGTCCTGGGGCACCTGGGGGAGGTGCTGAGGTCCATCAGCGCGTCGGGGACGTCACGGCAGCCTGGTCATCAGTGAGAGCTGGCGGGCCTTGTCCGAGGTTGTTCGGTTAGTAGGGGCACAGCCAGGATTCAGACCTCGGTCTGTTGACTCCCAAGCCTGAGCATTACCGTAGCCCTGATGTGTGTTACCTTCGTGGGTAGGGGTGGTTCAGATGATTTGAAATCTAAGATCCCTGGAAAGTACTTGGTCTTTCTACTTTAGAAAAATGTTACTGTAACTAAAATCTGTTCTACTGTTCTGAATTCAGAGCCACTTAAACTTGTTTTAGTCCATAAAGCAGTTTTTCTTCTTTTAGTTTTTGCCCATGGATTGCAAGATCACAAGAAAAATGGGAACTACGTCCCAGCTTCCCTCCAATTTGGAAATTTTTAGACCTCCTCTTACTCTGCCTGGCCATGGGTTTTTTAACCAAGCAGGGTATAAACCATTTTCATCTCATCAGGAATTTGATGCTGTTTCTGGGTCACAGACTCCTGTAGGTACAGGAATGAGCATACACCTGCCGACCTTTAGGTCAAGAGTCAGTAGGCAGGGTTTTCTGTAGAAATTAACAAGGTAATCCTAAAATTCATATGGAAATTTAAAGGACCCAGCTCAAACAATCATAAAATGTTGGAAGACTCATACTTCCCGATTTCAAAACTTACTGCAAAGCTACAGGAATCAAGACAGTGTGGTGCTGGCACAGGGACAGACACGTAGATTGTCAGAATAGAGTTGAAAGTCCAAAAATAAACCCTTGCATCTGCGATCAACTGATTTTCAACAAGAGTGCCAGGACAAGTTAATGAAGAAAAAATTGTTTTTCAGCCAAAGGTGCTGGAAAACTGGACATCCACATCCAAAAGAATGAAGCCGGACCCTTACCTCACATCAGACACAAAAATTAACTCAAAACAGACCGTAGATCTACATGTAAGAATGAAACTATAGAACTCTTAGAAGAAAATATAGGAGTAAGTCTCTGTAAACTTGGGTTAGGCAGAGTCTTATTTGTTCCAACACCAAAAGCACAAGTGACGAGAGAAAAGTAGGTACAGTGAACTTCACCAAAATTTAAAATTTTTGTGCTTCAAAGGACACTGTCAAGAAAGTAAAAGGACAACCCACAGGATGGGAAAAACTATTTAAGAATCATATATCTGATAAGGGACTTCGTGTATCCCAGAATACTTAGAGAACTCTTACAACTCAATAATAAAACAACAAATAAACCAATTAAAAAAGGAGCAAAGAATCTGAAAAGACGTTTCTCCAAAGATAGGCAAATAGTTGATAAGCACATGAAAATATGTTATAACACCATTAGTTTTTAGGGCAGTGCAAACCAAAACCACAGTGAGCTAGCACTGCACATTGCTGGGATGGCTATAATGATATTAAAGGAAAGAAATGGAAAATAGTGTCAGTGAGGATGTGGAGAAATTGGAGGCCTCATACCCTGCTGCTGGGACTGTAAAAATGCAGCAGTTCGTCAGAAAGGTAGACGTGGGATCACCCTATAACTCAGCAATTCCACTTCTAAGTGTGTACCCAGAAGAATTGAAAACGTGTGTTCAAACAAAAACTTGTACACTGGTGTTCATAGCAGCCCTATTCATAGCGCCAAAAAGTGACAACCCAAATGTCCATCAGCTGATGAACAAACAAACAGGATGTGGTGTACACACACGATGGGGCACCACTGGACAGTAAGAGGGAATGATGTGGTGACGTGTGTTCAACGTGGAGGGGTTTACGTCACGTGACACCAAGGGAAGGAAGCCTGTCACAGAGAATTCCACACTGTACGATTCCATCTGCACGAAATGTCCAGAATAGGCAAATCTATAGACAAAAAAAATTGGTTAGTGGTTGCCAACACCTGGGGGGAGGGAGTGAGTGTAGTGATTGAGAGTGAGGGTAATCGGGGGCGGGCGGGGAGGGCGTGATGAAAATACTCCAGATAGATAGTGCTGATGACTGCACGACTGGGAATCTACTAAAAGCCACCGAATTCTGCCTGAGGTTGAATTTTTTGGTATATGAATTATAGCTCAGTAAAGCTACGCTGTACACTCACGCAGAAGTCAGGACACCCAAACAAAGAACCATCACCTCTCCTTCCTCCTCCCGAGAGAAGTGGCGTTGCCACGGAAACAAAGAACCATTGCGCCCCTCCTGCCGCCTCCCGAGAGAAGCGGCGTTGCCATGGAAGCATAGTCCCATCCCACGGGCACTGGGTTCCCGAAACCCCACTGGCAAAATAATTCTTGGTTTAGGGCCTTTAAACTTCAAGGGAAAGTAGGGTTAGAGGGTTTGAATGCATGAATGAGCCTATTTTTAGGTTCAGTAAAATGAAATGGAGACAGTGTGAAACGGAGAGACTTGTAATCCTTTTGTTATGTGTTAATGTATAATAATGAGCATTGTCAAATTAATTTCTTTTTTCAATCCCCTGCTTATTTAAAACTTGTCAGGGTACTTCCCACACAGTTTCAAGGAAATGTATGTGGTTTTGTTTTGCTTTCTTGCACATAGTGTATACATGAAGAGGCATTTTTTTTCCCTGCCTGTTCCTCTGTCCATATGTTCACAGCCTTCCTGACGTTACAGCGCCCAAGTCATTGACTGGTAGGCCAGTCTTAGGCCCTTCCCTGGTCCCAGGAGGCTCAGAGCCACTCAGATGCCTAATAGGCCAGAGTCTTCATGATCTGTATTTAACCGCTCAGCTCTATTTCAAAGACCCTCCTCTGCTTAGAATATAAGAAGCATTGACGGAGCACCCACCCTGTGCTAGACGCAGGAGGAATGTGACGCAGCCCTGTCACCCTGGAACTCGCCGTCCAATTTTCTAGGGGCCCGAGGCCGGGCACCTCCTGCAGCCCTGGGCCGGGCATGGTGGGAGGAGAGGGCGAGGACGCCGGGGTCCTTTCTGCAGTCGTCCTCACCTCCTTTTCCCTCCCAGCCCCCAGTGCCCTCTTCTCGTTAGCCTCTCAGGAAGGGCTTTTCTGCCACCAAAAGTCTGGGGGTAGAATAAAAAGTAGACCAGAATTCTCCCGAAAGGGAAGCGTCCCCGAGTTGACAGACGATGCTGTGCTTGTTCTCGCATCTGAGGGTTTGTCTTGGCTGGAGAGGAACGTGGCAACTGAACGCTGTAAACGGCTTTGCATGAAGATCTTACTGCATAATCTTCAGAAGTCATCCTAGAAAAATCCAAGGGGGCGGTGGAATATTAGTGTTCTGTTCATCAGTTTTTAGTGAGAAGTCATCAGAATGTGTCTTTTCTAGTTTTTATGCTTTGTTCTTTTTCTGTGCAAGGCTTGGAGACGTTCTCTGCGCGCTGGGGGCGGGTGGACCCTGTCCCTGCTGCAGCCCCGCAGCTCCCGGAGGACGGTGGGCGGGGCTCCAGCAGGACACCTGCGTGACAGCGGAACTGTGGCCCTGCAGCTTGGCAGTGCTCTCTGGGGCTCTTCTTTTATCATCTCTGAGCCTCCCGCCTGTTAAATCCTGCTTCTCTGCAGGCCTCCGCTGGGCCACTTGAACAGCCTGCCCCCAGGACCGGGGTCTTGGGTAGCGGGGTTTCCACCTCATCACCCTTCACTTCCCTTCATCCCCCCGCCCCAGCCATTCTTTCCGAGGGCTGAGGGCTTCAAAGACTGGAAGTGAAGGCTTAGTGATGACCCAGGGGAAGAAATCCTACCAGCAGCCTGCAGACCCTGTTTCTTCACGTGTCTCATCGCACCGGCTTCAGTTTACACTTGAACGACGTCATAAGTGTCCCGTGCGGACCTGCCGACCTCCGGTGCCCGAGATCCACCAGCGGCGGCTCCTCTGGAGCTGGATGGCGGAGCCGGGGCCCCCCTGGGGATGTCCGAGGGAGCGGGGCAGTACCTGGCCCCTCCTCCCCCACCCCCGCTGCCACCGTTGCCCCTGTTTTTCTTCCCTCTTGGGTCCGTCTCTCTCCTCCTCTCCCAGCTCAGCATCTCACCGTCTCTCTCACGTGTGTAAAGGGGGTGATGAAATGTCCCCATCAGAGGAGGTGGCCCTTCTGGGCCTGCAGTGAGCCCTCAGGGACCCTGATGGCAGAGCCCCGGGGACTGCTCGTGAGGCCAGGGCGGAGGCGAGGGCCGAGGGCCCACGTGTCCTCCTGCCCTCCCTGCGTGCCGCTGCCACCCCGATCCTCCGTCCACGGCGGGGACTCCCTCGGATGCTCTCCGCAAGAACGGGCTCGGGCCAGTGTAAGCCAGAACGGCAACGAAGCCTCATGCGGACGGGCGGTTTGTCATCAAGGCGAAGACGGGGCGGATGGTCCTCCTTAAGGTGGAGCCAGGGCTGCCCGGGGTCCAGGGGGCGGCATCCTCGGACACCACCGTCAGGGGACCGGCCTCCGCCGCCTGGCTCCGTCCTTTCAGGACTCAGATGGTCAGGAGGTCCCCGGGGCCGTGGGCAGCTCTGGTGCAGCAGAGGCGCCGCGCTCTTGCAAGAAGGATGTGGGATGCAGGAGCCCCAGGCGGTGAGGTCCACTGCGCGTTTCCTCCAGACGCGCGTTCACCTCCCGAGCCGGGGCCCCTGCCCCCCGCGGCGGGGGGAGGGCCTGTAGCAGGACCAGGCCCGTCTCCTCTCGGGGACCTCGCACCCCGAACCCGCTCAAGGTCTTCCGGCCGCACGCACCTCCTCTCCGTGTGATTCTCTGCTCGGCCCTTCTCTCCGCCGGTGCCCTTCTCCCGGCATCCACCTGTCAGATGCAACTCGGGCATAACCGCCTGCGGTTCCTCTGCAACCCTGCTCTCACTGCTGTCCACGTCTGCCCCCCGTCTGGTCTGCGGGCTCCGTGAGGTCAAGGTCCTGGTCTGAGTCTCGCCATCCCCAGCACCTTGCCCACCAGCAGAGCGTGCTGAATGTTGTGTGGGCCACCGAGGAAGGCACTGGTGATGGGAGGAGAGGCGGCTCTGCCCGTGCTCGGGGCGCAGCCCCCCACCCAGCTGCCCGGGGGCGTCTGGATGCTCGAGCTGTACTCCATGGGCCTGTGGTAGTGACAGAAAGAAAAATATAACACAGATCATCGGAGAGAGCTTGAATAAACTGTTAGTTTTGTTTGTTTTTGTAACTGTTGATCATAGAGGTAGCACACCGGGATGCAGGGGCCTGTGTCCTAGTCTGCACTGCGCCCGTGCTACCTCTGAGAGCTCAGGAAAAGCCCTGCCCTTCTCTGGGCTCCTGGTTCCTCGTCATTCACATTGACTGGTGTCGGAGGTTTCTTGCAATGTGCAGATTTGCTAAGCTCACGGAGAGGTGAGTAGATTACTGACCTTCAGAGCATCCCAGAATCCTGGGTGTGACGCAGCGCCAGTGGGGCCGCACTCAGTGGGCCCACCTGGAGGGCCAGTGCCCACCTGAAGCACAGGTTCTCCCGGCTTCACTCAGGCATCCTTCTTTCCAGGTCAGGCTGAGCTCAGGGGCCACGTCCCAGTCTGCATTCCCATCATCCCTCCCAGGGTTCAATTCATAGCCCTTTTCTGGTTAAAAATCCTTCCGTCATCAAAACCCACTGTCACTGTTTGAGCCGCAGCTTCACAGAAGCTGGTGGTGGGATTCGAGTCCACCGGCCCAGTTTTCAGAGCGCTCTGGAGGACCTGGGCTTCCTCCCTTGGTCATACCTCGCCTGGGTCACACTTTCTAAAACACCCCTCACCTTTCAGGCTCTTCTTTTAGAATATTACCTGGCAGAGTAGGTAATTGAAGGAAAAGAAAGGGACTCTGAAGCGCGCTTTCTTGCTTCTTCCCACAGGTCACCAAGGAAAACAGAAACCACCTTCTGCCAGAGATTGTGACGTGTGTGCAGAGTGGCCGGAAGTGAAGACGACTTGTCACTGCTTTTCTGCACGTGAACACATCTCTTGGAGAGGAGCCTCAGTTCCCTGCCTGTCCAGGTTTTTGGCCTTCGGGTTTATGAAATCTTGGAGGCTTTTCCAAAGAAAGCCTGACAGCTGTTTTCCATAAAATGTTTAAAAGATCAAATTAGCCTTAATGTTGGATTGACTTGACAAGATTAACAATCCACTGTGGCTTATTCATGCTGAGAGATTTCTGTTTATTTCCTCTTGCAGTTGTGCATATGATTTGGGTAAATTATGAAATGAGAAATGGTTTTCGGAGTATTAGTTGGAATTTGCCCCCATTGATTGAAGTTTATAAATGTGTTCAGGGAAAAAGGGGGAGAAAAGAGTTCACTGCCTAATCAGTTTTGCATGTCAGGAAAATTAAATCCCTCTCCAGGAGCAGCTGAAGTCTCCCGCAACTTAGAGTGATAACAGTTACTTGATTTTTTAAAAAATCAGTATTTCAAAAAAAGCCACTTTCGGTCCTCCCCCCTCCCCATCTCTTATTGTTTATCTGTTTGCTTATTGCTTGATAAAATAAAGGTAGATGTGATGATCGCACGCATGTGGGTCCTTGCGTGGGAGAGGCGAGCAGTCTGTAGAAATGTTGGTAGCGCCGGGTACCCAGCAGGGCTTCAGATCAGAGCCGCACTTTGGCCCCGTTCACTTAGACAAGTTCGCAAACCTTCCTGGGCCCCGTTTCCCTCCCAGAAAAGAGGGAAGTGGGTACCA